CCCCCGCCCCGTGGCCCCACGGTACCAGGACAGGGGGTGACACCATGCCAGACATGCCCAGCACACCTTGTATGCGGTGTCCCCGGGATGGAGCTGTACCCACTGCCCCTTCGGCCGCAGATTAACTGCATTTTAATTCCTGCACCCAGGGATTGGGGAAGAAACAGTCAAATTAATGTTTCGGGGTGGTGCCATTGGGGAGCAGCAGCCACGGAGAAGTGGGAAAAGGTGGGGGGGGGCAGGTACCAATGCAAGCGAGGGTTGGGGGTGCGGGCACCCGCGGTGAGCCAGGTGACCCACGGCAGGTGTCGGGGACAGGCAGTGGTGCAAGGACGGCGGTATTTCCCATGCCAGGAGGCATGTGCCTGCGGGCATTCGCTCGCCCTCGGTACCACTCGCTCCATGCTGTTCGTGACAGCGCATTTTACACCGGCTCAGCGGAGGATCTGCGTCTCAGCACCAACAAAGAAACCCCGAGCGTGCAGCCCACGGACCAGCTGGGCTTTGCTCCGCTCCGGCCAAGGGGGCTTCCCCGCTCATCTCGCGTCCCCCGCCACTGACCCCCGTCACCATTCGTTCAGCTACAATCTCCTGGCAGCACCGGCGCTGGTGCTCGCTCTGGTTTATGTTAACTGAGCCGCAGGATGAAGCAACGGAGCTATCGGCCATGCTCGCCTTCCCCGGGAGGTGTGCAGTGGTTTACTGGGGGGACGGGCACAGCCATGGGCACAGCTGGGGGGAGCACGAGTCCAGTCTCACAGCCATTGCAATGGCTGCACAGGCTGCCGGTGTGGCCGGGGCCGGATCTGGCACGCCTTGCCAGAAATAATTAATTTTTTTTTTTTCCTATAAAACGCTATTCACAATCCACACGAGGCGGCCCGGCTCCCCGGGCAGAGCCACTGCTGGCCCAGGGTGGCCCTGGCGGGCCAGGCACGGGGATGCCACAGCTCGCCGGAGCCATGTCCCCCAGCCTGTCCCAGCACCCTGTAGATCCTCGGCCTGTCCTCAGAGCCAGGAGGAAGAGGAGCACGGGGAAGAAGAGGGGTGCAAAAGGAGCTGAGGGCTGCCGGGACGCAGCAACCAGACCAGTGCTCCCCCAGGGGCTAGGCTGCCACCCTCAAACACGGCTCCCACAGGCGCTGCTGGGAATGCCCCGCTCCCCCGCCCCGGGCATCACGGAGACTGTCTGGGGGCGGGGGGGGGAATAAATAAATTAACATGAAAAGAGGAAAAGGGTAAAACACTGCCAGGGACCATGGGCTGGTAGCCTCTGCCAGACTGCAGGAAGGGACGAGGGACAGGGAGGTGACAAACGCGAGGGAAGGCGACGGCTGTGCCGAGGGCTTGTGTGCCGCCGGCGTCCTGGAAGCGGCTGCCCAGGGTCAGTTGTTGTTCATGATCCACCAGGAGGCTGGGGGGAGAGAGAGGGGAAGGGGTCAGGGATGTACAGTCAGTGTTAAACTGAGGAGGGGGATTAGGGGTGGCAGAGACGGGGGTCGGGCCCTGCTCGGGGGCAGCTGAGGCTTTTCTGCAGGTCCCTGGTACCTGGCTCTAAAGCAGCCACCACCCCGGGGTGGGGAGCGTGGCCGTGGCAGGGCCTGGGGATGGGTGA